CCATCGGCCTTGTCAGGCACCTGTGATAAAGATGACTGAAGACTCATTGTGAGATATACATGCATGCAACCAACACCATATAACCTTACATATGTCAGCCTGTTCTTTGTGCTTCTCATCAGTAATTCACTTAATCCTCCCAGCAACCCTCTGTTGAAGGCACTCTTTCTTATCTTCCCCATTTTACAGATGGGGAAAAGACTGAGGTTAAACGACTCACTCAAGGTCCAGCAGGTAGGAGCAGTGCAGTCCGAATTTGAACTTGGGCCGTGGTTCCAGAATCTGCTCTTAACCATGACTTTTTGTTTATAAGTCAGTAAAGGAGACCACCAGCAGGGGGACAGGGGACAGCATTTCTCCTGGCTGGCTTCACGTAGACGAGGCTGGAAAAGCTGCATTGGTACAGGTAGCCCAGACTAGACAAGGAAACTGAGTCAGTGCTGTCCAAGTTGTGACGTGAAACCATTTCGACCTGCACTGGTTCTAATCGCACTCCAGCTATAAAACTTGGTCATCTCCTTTTTCCTTTTTGGTGGTTGGCGTGGGGCAGGGGCTGGCTAAAGTTATAGATTTTGTTTCTTATTGTAGTTTTTTCCTTCTTGCATTAGGCTTATTTACTCTCTTGTTCTCTATTGAGTTACTGAATTCAGTTTTCCTGAGATGCCCTGAAAGTGTGAGATCACACATGTGTAGGAAGTGGCCCCTGGGTCAGACCCACAGCCCCTGTGCATCCCCTGTCTGGACTCTGCCATGTGAGTGAGCCCCAGAAGAAGCAAGCGCGCCTGTTCCGTGACATCAGCTGCTGAGATGAGGACTTGGTGCCCAACACTCCGTCTTCCCGTCCAACTCAAGAGCTAATCCTGTGCCTACATCTGAAGAGTGTTTTGCTCCGAGGCCATGCCATGGATTCTCTAGTTGGCTGCACTGTGTGAACTGCAGCTTCCTCTTACTGGCTCTTTAGTAATAGAGATGAGGGATGCCCTGCCGCACTGATGAGTACGTCATAAAGTTCCTAAGTCAAATAACTGAGTCTGGCCTATCACCAGGCCCATCAGCCATCCAGAAGACAGTCTCAGAATGGACTCAGATTACATGAGAGTTTGAAATATGATAAAGGTAGCAGTATAAATCAGTGGAGAGAAGATGATGTACTCAAATAAATAGTGTGGGGAAAACTAGTTAGACATATAGAAAACAAATTGGATTTAATGACTCCTTATGCCAAAATCCAGATTAACTACTTACATGTAAAAACTGAAATAAAAATGACAGAAGAAAATGTGAGAGAATTTATTAAAACAATCTCAAAATGAAGACGTTCTTTTCAAAATTTAAGACTAGGACCCCAAATCACAAAAGACTGCCAAAATCGACTACGTCAAAATTTTAAAATCCTGCCAGCAGAAAACTATAGAAGCTAAAAGACAAAAGAAAAATTGAGATAAAATATTTTCAACACATATGACAAAGTTCCTATAAATCAGTAATAAGAAGTATTAAAAAAGTAAGGGCATAGGGGACCAGCCCTGGTGGCCTAGTGGTTAAGTTTGGCATGCTCTGCTTCAGCGGCCTGGGTTCGGTTCCCAGGCGTGGACATACACTGCTCTGTTAGTGGCCATGCTGTGCTGGTGGCCCCCATACTAAAAAATAGAGGAAGATTGGCATGGATGGTAGCTCAGGGTGAATCTTCCTCAGAAAAAAATAAATAAGGGTATAGAGAGATGGTTCACAAAAACCAAATGCTTTTATAATTATTTGAAAAGATAAAAACCTCATTTCTAATAAAAGAAATGTAAATTAAAACTCCAGTATACCATTTCTCATCTACCAAATTAATGAAGATAAAAACTGTAATTACTCACTTACTTGGTGAGGGTATGGGGAAATGGGCACATTTGTGCAATTTTCATAGTAGGATAAATGGGCACTTTATTTGGAGTATCTATCAAAACATGTACAAATATTTTTAACGGGGAAAAATGGACCTCCTGAAAGTAATTCTGCTTACAATGGAGAAAAAAATTTCATGGAAAGCAGATTTGATTAGGAAGTTACTTTGAAAAATAACAATAATAGTTAATGAAAATAAGATTATCCTATATATGCTAAGTTGTTAGACTGCAGGTATCTACTCTTTTTAGGAAAAAAAGGAATTGAGGTTCTGGTATGATGTTTGTATAACATGATATGGTCATCTTTTCTTCCTAATGGACTTTGGCAGCACTTTCACAGAGAAGACCATTTTTGTAGAAGATTAGGCTTCGTGGCTTTGCCAAGGGGCCACCCTTAATCCTTATTTTTTCATTTTCTCTCCTTTGAAATGCTTCTCTAGGCATCAGCCCTGATTCTCTCTTCAATTGCTAACTGCTTTAACTCTGCCTAATCTCCTAATCTCTGTTAGAGAGATTCTTCAATTTCACTTCCCTTAACTTCATGAAATCTCGTATCCTGGCAAGATTTACAATTCTTCTTTATAAGTGATTTACTTTATATTGTCCTTGTTTGATAAGAGACTGCCTGGAAAGAGAGTCAGTCAACGGAGATGGAGCAGGGACAAGACGGGTGGGGAGAAACAATAGTGTTCAGTGGGGAGGGATGTTTCAGAGGGACTAATTTCATAAATGGGCAGTTCATTAGTGAATATTTGAATGGTTAATGGCTGTCTTTAGCTGCCCTATACATCCGTCAATAGGGGACTTGTTCCATACATTATGGCACAATGGAATGCTCTGCAGCTGTTAATAAAAAGGAGACGCGCTAGATGTCTTAATATAGATCCATCTCCAGAACACACAGGCATCTTCCCTTTAAACGCTGCATATTGGGGCCGCGTGCTTACCAAGAAATGAGAGGGCTCACTCAGTGAAAGCTGAAAGGTTTCCTTACAGCATGACGCCTGCGAGACAGGTCCCAGCACAGTACACTGGCCAGGGCTCCATTCTCTTCAAATGCCCTGGGGTTGCTTCCTGCCCACATCATATGCCTCCAGGCCACTGTGCATGTAACTGTTGGGCACCTCCTGCCAGATGCAGTGTTGCCCTTGGAATGCTCAGGGCCTAATCAGGCCCTAATGAGCTGCCCATCCCTGCATCGGCTGATGGAAAGCTCACTGATTAACACCCAGCATGACATTCCTTAGTCTTCTTACCCTTCTGCCCCACCACATCCATGCCTCTTTCAGGTGGCCTAGGGCCCTGTGTTCACCAGAAATGGAACCAACGCCAGAAAGACTAGAGCTACACAAGCACCATCCCATTCGGGGCAAGCCCAGCCCAGTGGGCTGAGAGCAGAGACCATGTTCCTTCAAGTATCCTGGAAGCTCGACCACAAGAAAGCAACACTTCAGCTACAGCGTGCCTTGCTGTCACCTGTTAATGCATGTACACATCCATATGGATGTGCGCACAAAACACTGTGAAATAAAAATGCCTCTCAGATGTACTGCCCTATAATGAATCAATATTGTCTGGGCAGCTCAAAAAGAAGTATGGCATACCTATTTATTAAGTCCAAAAAGGCAAACTGCAGATAAATATATACAATATGTTACCACTTGTGTGAAAAGGAGTATATATAAATATACACACAGACATATTTGTTCATATAAAACACTCTGGAAAATATAATAGGCAACCGTTAACAGTGATAACCTTCTGGGAAGGAGATTTTGGACTTAGGGGTTGGGGTGGGACAGTCTGATTTTCCCCATATTCCCTTTTGTACTCTGAGTTTGTTTTACTGTGTGCATGTAAAGGCTACTTACTATTATTGTTTTAAAGCACATTCTAATATGTAGAGAACGGTGTGCTGCAGAGCATGCAGATGTTCTGCCAGGCTGTGAATGAGCGGCCCTCCACGCGGGGCCGGGGCGGCCGGTGAGAGGCGGCTCCCGCCGCATGGTGGTGTGGGCTCTGGTTCATGTCACTCCAAGGAGCAGGGGCTGCTCCGGCACAAAGAGGTTTTTGACAGGGAGAGGCAAAGCGGGAGTGAGAGCAGGCTCTGGGCAGGCTCCCAGGGAGCCCCTCCTCCCAATGAGAAGGGGTGCCCTCCACCCATTTGCGATCAACAAGGCTCTCCTAGGAAATGAAACGTTACGTATGTTTTGTCACTGCAGAATTTCTAGAGGAGTGATTTTTAATGAAATGTACTGGTACAGCATGTTCTCACTGCTGTGTCTCATTAAATATTTAAGTTTTTATGTAACTTTTTTCCATTTTCAAATAATCTTTGATTTTGATTAATGCAACAATGACGGCACTTAATATATTTTTCAATTGATTTGCCTCATGTTGCTATTAATTTAACTGTTTTCTAATGCATATTCATGTTCTAAACCCTTTTTGCAAACTCTACCTCAGAGCCCGGTTTTCCTGCGCGCTTTACATTGTCAAAGCTCCGCTCGGGGGAGGGCAGGTTATCTTCACTTCTGAAACAGCACTGCTTTGGGAGCTGGCTGGGCCCTGGGTATTCTGGGGAAGTGACACAATGTTGACCTAGGAGGGGGCCCTGATCCCTCCCCAGTGGAGCACCAGCTCCATGGAGAGGGAACGGAGGGGAAGATGAGGCTGGTGGGACTTGGGACATGCCACACCCAGCCTCTCCAGGGGCTCTGCCCTGGGCATCCCCTCCCCCACCTGGGCATGGGGAGGCCTGGCCACGCCGCTGGCAGAGAAGCTGGGTGGGAAGAAGCAGGCCGAGCACCCGCCACTGTAAGAGGAAACGAAGAGAAACAGCTCTAGTCAGCCCCAGAAGCGAGGCCTGGAAAAACTCTGCAGCTGGAGCTAACACAAAGGACTTTTCAGACCCTGTAGCCAAGGTGCCCAGTGAGCGTTTTTTTTACAGCTATTAGGGTAACAAGCCTTTCCAAAGGCCAGCAGTTGGCGAGGGTTTCCAGGAAGCTGGTCTGGCACCAGGCTAGGATTGGAGCAACTTTAACGAGTTAACTTCAGAAGGAAGGAATCATCAGGAA